AAAACAGACGATGGTCAAAAAACTTTTTTGTGGGAAAGAAATACTTAAGATTGCTTACAACTTCCAATGCTCGTTTCAGATCTGCAGCTTTTTTTCCAATGAGTGTAGAGACTTGAGAATCAAAAAGAACAAAAGTTGCAGTACATCCCTTGTCTTCTACTCGTACGTGCACACGGTAACTTAAGCATAAACATGGATACATTAGTTTATTTCAATTACCGTAGATGCTATGAAAATACAACCAGTTTTGAATTTGAAGTTCTGCTCATGTATACATATTACCGTACAATAACAGCATCAGGGCAAACTTTACAATGGTAGCACCAAAATTTGTCATTTTGTTCATTAACTTTACGGTAGCACTTGTTGCAAGCGTTATAGTACCAATTCTGATTGGCTTGAATATGCAGAATCTTGCAGTAAACAATGCATGAACACTCCTGCATCAAAGAAGGTTTTTTAGATCCTGAAAACAATTTTTAAAACATGTGGTTAATCATAATTGATTATAATTGATTGAAAAAGAGTTTAAATGTTCTTTGAAATTGAAAATAACCTCATTTATTGAATCCAAATCAGCAATGGATTTAAACTCTAACTCAGCTGGGAATTCATCAATCTCTGAAGCCGATCTACGGGATGAATCATCTCTCGACAAATTAGAAACTGATAACTGAATAGGATTTTCCTTCAAGCTGTGTAAATTCATCAAGATAAACAAAGGAAATTAATTTAATATTTGAAATATCACTAAATATACTTGCTTACAAACCAATACAATTGAAAAGTATGAATATTAATATGTTGAAATTATTACCTCTTCACATAAGAGTTAATGTCCTCCAGATCATCATTGATAATCAACTTGCTTGCAAATAACGAATTTTGCAAGTTGACATATGCTAAAAAAAAATAAAAAAATAAAAAAATATTTTAATTATATTGATCATATTAACGGATTTTATAAAGAGAAAGAAAAAATGTTGAATTGAATATAACCTCCCCATCTCTTGACCATAGCATGCTGAAGGATGATGACTACTGGATCGCCTTTTTTGACATTCCAATTTTTGTTATTCCAATATTCAGCCATTTGGATTGCAAATTCGTTCCACAAAGTACAATCAATAGATTCTCCGCTAAAAAATAAATATCACCAAAATCATCGGGTCATAAAAATGGCATTGATTATTTGCAGAAAATTAAAGTGCGATGAGACTTTACTTATGTACTAAATATGAGTTGATCTCTTTAACTATTAGGAAGAAAATGAACAGTTTATGAAGACAAAAAAGTCCCAGAACATCAACTAAAATCCCAAAACATATAACCTTTCCGTGCAAATCCCAAAACATAAAAAAATTCCAGAACATCAACTAAAAACAGTGAAAACATAAAAAATCCCAGTTAATTGCATATAATTGGATGTTCAAGGCTTACAGTAAGATAATAAAACATTAGTTATTTGGATGTTCAAGGCTTACAGTAATATAATTGCATTTGAAAGATACATACATGTCAATAGTGCAATAGAGTATAGAGATATAATCATAGAGTTTAAATCAATCAAAATGCAACCAGTTGAGATACATAATAAAGGCTGAATAATTAAGAAAATTCGGGAAAAATGTAGTCAGTCACTCATAGTAAAAATCCACAAGAACTAATAAATTTAATATCATCAAATATATGAATGAAGAATAAAATGTTACCTCAAGTTACGTAAATGTGCCTTAATCCTCATCATTTGGCGACCATCCCGGTCGTATTTAACCAGCTCATCCATACCATACACTTCGGCAATAACATCTACGTATTTAAAATCATTTATTATTTTTAAACGAATAAGTATACAAATAAATTTATATAAATTATGTATGTATAGTTTCGATAAAAAAATAATAAATTTTGATATGTAAAACCATAATAAATTTGTAAACGAATAAGTATACAAATAAACTTATATAAATGATGTATGTATAGTTTCGATAAAAAAATAATAAATTTTGAGAAACATACCAAACACGCGCAAAGAGTAATCAGCATTACTCGCAAGGTCGCTGAAGTTGACGAAGTTAAAAATGTAACGGGGAATATTGACAATCCCCGATGGCCTAACAGAAGTGCACTCGTGAAACTTCAAAACATAAGGGTGTTTTGTTGGCGCGTACTCATCATTATTTGGAAGTATTTCAAAATTTTCTAGTACATAGAATGATCCTTCCTTAATAATATTCTCCAGCTTCGAAATACGCCATTTTGGAATTATGGCTTGAATCTTATCACCCTAAAGAAATAACACCTTCATTAAGTTTTAATACAAACACAACATTCTTATAGTGAAATAACGTTAATTAACAAAAAAATAAAAAAAAATGAATACCTCCTCGTCTAGAACACATATTTCCATTGCAGTGCGAACATCGGGTTGACTTCTCATAAACTTAAACCATACTCGCTCACACCTAACACGTATTTTCCAAGTTTCTTTTTCTGCGGTGATCTGAGCAATGGAATTGAAAGTAGAAGCCATGTCTTTTCTTTCACAGGTAGAAGTAATGTTTTCACTGTGTTGAATCGCCAATATATATATATATATATTTCACTATGAAATATTGCCAATGGAACATAAAATAATTCAAAAAATAATTTATGGAAACTATAATATAATTAGATAAAATATTTTCAAGATAACACTTTCTATATAAAAAATATTGAGATACAAAATATTCACCGTGGTTCATTTCACATATTACTCAAATGAAATACAATACTTTCTATATAGAAATATTGCATACACGGATAAAATCTTAAACATGATGCTTATTGATAAAGATTGCATACCTACCTTCAATAGTGACTATGTTAATTTGGCATATTAATCAAAAGAAATACACAACATTTATTCCAAAAAAATGATTATTCACCACAGTCTACTCTACGTACGGCTTTATTGGCAAGATTGCTAAAGTGTTTGTGTGTGTCATCTCTAGTCTCTAGAAGACAATAAACACCATGCTAATAATGAAACGAAATGTAAACAGATCAGTTAAAGAGAATATGACAAGAAATAAAATTTGAACAAATAAAACTTGAACAGACAGTCAAAAACTAATAAAACTGGATGTAAGCAGAGCAGTCAAAAAATAAAACTCTCACAAATTCAGGACTCGACAAATAAAACTTTAAACTAATAACGAAACTTGAACAATTTTAGGACTCGACAAAAAAATAAAACTTGAACTGATAATGAACTGATCACCATCAGGAATCGAAAAATTTCTCAAAAGCAGTTCGTGAATGAATAAAAAAAATAATTTTAGACGATAATCGAACACAGGGCAATCGAATTAGTACCTGTGAGCTTTGCAACACCAACCTCAGCCAAGGAGATCATTTTTTTTTATTCGGAGTCACAGGTCGCGTAATTCACGAATGTAGAATTTGTGAGAATTTGTAAGTTGCATCCACTGAACTTGTAAGAATTTGTGAAAATTAAGTGGAGCTTGAAGGAATTATCATCAAATTACACGGGTGCAAAATCAATTGGAATAATAAGATGTTTTAGAAGATGATAATGACGGCGAAAGTAACGCGAAGAGGAAGAGAAAGCGCCGGCGAGAGTGATGAAGAGTAGAGGCAGATTCAGGGTTCAATTCAGGGTTAAATTAGTCACTCAATAGCATTAAGTAAGAGTATAAAGGAATTAAAGGGTTATATTAGTCAAAGTGTTATGAAATTACCTAAGTTAGCTTTTGAATATATATGGAATGTCCGAACCTAAATTAATTATCTATAATAACAATATTTTTTGTCCAAACCAAAATACGAAGCATGATTCTTCGCCAAGTAGGATTCTGAAGCACCAGAAACAGCCACGTAGGCTCAGCGCATTGGGGAATTATATATAGGGGGGATGGACAGATTAGTGGTTATGTAACACCCTCAAGGGGCATAAGGCAAGGGGATCCTCTCTCCCCATACCTTTTTCTCATTGTTACAGAACTGCTCACTGCCCTAATCCATAACAGCATTTCAGAGGGTCAGCTCAAAGGATTGAAACTCTCTAGGAATGGGCCATTACTCTCACATATTTTATTTGCTGATGACTCTTTGTTCTTCCTTAAAGCGGGTGTCGACCAAGCCGGTTTTCTTATGAATCTGTTGGAGAAATATAGACTATTCACAGGTCAGGCTGTGAATCTCCAGAAGTCTGCCATCTTTTTCAGCAGAAATGCTCCTACCCAGCTTCGGAATTCTATTTGCAGATCCTTGAACAATATTGTTTCTCACAGATCAATGAGGTACTTGGGTCTGCCTTTAGGCATTGGCAGGTCAAAGAAGGAAGTTTTTGATTATTTGCTGCACTCAGTCAGAGCTAAACTTACATCTTGGAAGGCTCAGCTGCTCAGTCCTGCTGGTAAGGAAGTTTTAATCAAATCTGTTCTCCAGGCTCTCCCAGTATTTTCCATGGCTTGTTTCCTCTTACCAGTATCCATATGCAAAGAGATTGAAAGACTGTGTGCCAAATTTTGGTGGAAATCTGGGCCAGAACAAGCTAAAGGAGTATATTGGAAGAAATGGAGTCATCTTACACTTCCCAAAGAGGATGGGGGACTAGCTTTTCTTGACCTACAGCTCTTTAACAAAGCTCTCATTTGTAAACAACTCTGGAGGGTAGCCTCTCAACCTGATCTCCTGGTAAGCAAAGTACTTAAAAACAGATATTTTCCAAACTCCTCTCTTGCAAATGCTTCAAGTAGTCACAGTGGGTCTTGGATGTGGAATTGTTGGATGAAAACTTTACCCTTCTTTGCTAAATGGGTAAAAATTGAGATCAGAAATGGGGTAAACACTAGACTCTCTGACCTGAATTGGATTCCTAACCATTGTAGAACTTCTCCTTCACTCATTCCTATTGCCAGAGGACACCTTGTGTGGGTCAAAGAGTTGCTAACCGATGATGGCACTCAGTGGAACTCTTGGCTAGTCAGACAGGTCTTTGATGAACTTGATAGCAAGGCAATCCTCAATATATCTACTCTGCACCCTGGTAGGAATGACAGATTATACTGGGGTTTACATGAGAAGGGCTATTTCTCTGTCTCTAAAACTTACTCTCATCTCAACTCTCAAAGGGTCCAGAGCCTAGATATTCCTGAAAGCAGCTCAAATTCAATGGTCAAAAAATCCATCCTATGCAGACAGTGGAAATTAAAGATAGCAGGCAAGATCAAACACTTTCTATGGAAGTGCATTTCAGGTACCCTTCCTGTTGCAACTCACTTGAGAAAGAGAGGAATCGACTTGGAGACCACCTGTGCTATCTGTGGAGCTGCTGCTGAGTCCACAGAACCCATTCTCTTTTCTTGCCCCAGAGCAGTTAATGTTTGGAAATTTAGCCCATTGGATTGGAGTAATCTTCACAGCTACACTGATTCTTTCAAGGCCTGGTGGTACAATATCTGCTCATTGGATAACTCTGAAGTAGCCGAGGCAAGAATACAACTTACCACCTATATCCTTTGGTGGTTGTGGAGATCAAGGAACTTGTGGCTCTTTCAAAACTCACTTATCCCTGAATTCACCCTTGTCCAGATGGCTCAATCTGACTGGATGGAGTTTTCTTCAATTGCTTAACTAGTTGCTGTGGTTTTTCCAATTTCTGTGACTGTGACTTGAGATGGTTTTCCTTGCTAGGCTCCTGGGCAGTGGCTGGTGGCTTCTCTTGCTGTGTTTGTTTAGTTGTTAGTCCCTTTTTCTTGTCTGTTTGTTTAGGTTGGCTGTGTTTGTATATTTGTATTGTATGGTTTGTTTTAGCTGTTGGTTTCCTGATTTAGTTTGTTGGCTGTCTTGTTCTGTGTTAGTTCGGTTTGTTTAGTTGTCTTGGTTGAGGCTCTAGGCCGCTTTATGCGTGCCTCTCATGTTTTTAGCTCTCGGTTCGGTTGTGTCTGTATTCGAACTTTGTTCGCTTTCGAGTTTTTAATATAGTTACCCCTGTCGTTTCGGAAAAAAAAAAAAAAAA